CTTTCAATATTTTATTAATTGCAGTTAATTTTAGATTAATCTCCTTTGTACTATTGAATCAATTTTTAATATTACTTGACAATTTTAATTGAAAATTAACCACATTACTGTTTTTTAGGCCTGATATTTTGTCCTCACACTGGTTGCTTCTGCTGTCCATACTTTCAGGAATTTTTTTTATTGACATCAGTTCATTTCCATGCCTGGAATTCATGATTTGCATCTCTTTCTTTTCTAGTTCTCCTAGTGTTTTTGTTAGTGCCTTTTCTAGACTCACTGATCATTTCTTTCATTAGGGCAATTACCAGTTTAATTATGTGTTCTTCACATTAAACAAATACTTTATCTGTTTTTTATATCTCCACTGTTATTTTGTCTGGGTTGCTTTTGAATTCCTCCCCCTAGATCCCTTCTGGAATGGTTTTGGGGGAACTGGAAGATTTGATAGGAATTTTTTTGCCTTATTTTCTCATGTTTCTATTTTTTTTTCTATGCGGAGGCTTGGAGATTTGGCATCTGGCCTGTTCCTCATAGTTAGCACCATCTAGGTATCATCACACAGTGGAAGAGATGGAAGGGCAAAAAAGACCTATCTGATTCCCTACTGGAGCTGTTTTGTGAGTACTTGGTCTATTTATGAAAGTGATTTTACTATGTCCTAGAAGTTCTATCTCTTGATAGTATCATCTGGTGTCTTAGGTTACAATTTCTGATTTGGTGAGGACATACACATTCAAATCATAGCAGCAGACAAACCTGATGGAGCTCTCTTCTCCTTTTCCTGGACCTAGGGGAAGGAGGTTGTGCCTACTTGCATAGCTCTTAAGTGAGAATTGGTTTAGGATCAGGGCAGGGTCAGGGAGAAGGCTGGGGAGGCAGTGGAGGCAAAGGGTTGGGTTAGAGCAGGGATGGTGGAGATGACATGATAAATATCATCAGAGAATCTGTAGGACTTAGAGATGGACAGGAACAGGGATCTCACAATCCAGGTTGATTGCTCCTTAATCATATTGTTCCACCCAGCTACTCAGACTTGAGTGCAGGATGCCTCCAATCACAGTGGGTGCCTTAATACTGTGAGCTTGTGATCTGCACCCTTGCTTACTAAACAGGAAAGTTCCCAGCACTGGTCACAGTTTGAGCCTCCTAGATCAAAGACAGTGAGGCAGAATGAACACTGATCATCAAAGTAAGAGACATCTTGGCCAAGACAAAGGGAGATCTTTGTGAAGTATTTGGGAAGAGGGGTCATGTGTTTCTTTTCTACATTAAACAGAAGATGGATAAAGTTAGATAGGATCCATTAGCTGGCATGTGAGTAAAAAATAGAATCTTCCAGTCAGAAGCTTTATTAGCTACTCTGCTTCTTTCAACTTATTTCCTCATTTAATTATAAGACACATCAACTAAGGAAATGCAATTACTCTTTTATGTCATATGGGAAAACTGAGGTTGGAGTGGGGTGTGGAGGCAGAAGCTTTTAATCCTAGGACCTAAAAGCTGAGGGGGGAAGATGACAGAGAGTTCAGTGACAGTTTTGGCTACATAGTGAGTTTGAGTCCACCTGAACCATATAGGATGTTCTTGTCTGAAAACCAAACCAAACCAAAGCAAATCAAAGCAAAGCAAAGCAAACCAAACCCAACTCAACCTGAGGTTGAAGAAAGTGAAAAAGAGCGGGTTCTCGAGCTGTCCGCAATACCGCACAGAATCAAACTGCTTTTTAAACAGTTCACACCAGCAAAGTCAGATGACTGGAAACGAGTTTGACTTGGCATGGAGAAAGAGACAGGGAATTAGGTCAGTTGCTCCTGAAAAGCTAGGTTTTTGCCCTTTTCAGGTGTCTCCAATTTCTTAGAGGCTGAAACAGATCCCTGAAGCAAATTGCAGACATATGTCCCGGAAGCTGCCTGTTTTCCCATGTGTGAATATGTGCTGGTTGCCCACTATTCTCCAATGCTGAGGTTTCCAGGGATCTGCTCTCCTATGCTTGTTCTGAAACTCCAAGATGGCTCCAGAACAACTTAGGACCATGCAGTGGTGGGTTGAAAGGGGATCTTTGGTTCCCTGCAAACCCAAACCTCTTGCCTGAATCTCTATCTTGGGAAGGCATCCTTAGCAAAGCAAAGGTCATCTCAGCAGTCCTCTAAACACTTGTTTCCTTGAAATCTTCATCATTGTCTTCAGTATCAGCCTTCACAAACATGCTCAGGTCCTTAATGAGGAAGGCATTGTGGGCTTTGGGGCCATGGGTGCAGCACAGTGATGGCATGGGGTGATCCATGAGCTGAGACCAGGCATCAAGCTGAAGAAATTGTGGATAGAATGCCAAGGAGGATGGGTGGAAAGTCTCAGCCCATAGCAGCCTGAAATACTGGATGCTGCCCCAGGGGGTGGATTTTGGAGGCTCAAGTTCTGTTTCAGCTCTGCCTCATGATCATGACCCTGATATCACACTGCCCTCAAGCCCCGTCTGAGAAAGACCTGCCCACACTTCTGTAGAGCTCCACTCACTGCCTGTGGTTCTTAGACTCTGGTGGTGGCCATCCCTGGATTTCCTGTCTAGAAGCCTGCAGAATGAAGTCTGTGTTCCACTAAGAAGAAAGGATGACCCAGACAGCCTGGAAAAGAGATGGAGTGGCCTGGGATCCCTACTCTCTCATCCTGCTGTGATCCTTGCTTTGCCTGAGAAATATCAGACATTCTGATTGCAAGGCCTCACTAGGCGCCCTGAAACTCGTCTTTGTAGTCCCCTCACTTGCACTGATTATCACATCTACCTCTCCTCCAGCTCCAAGAGAGATGCCACACCAGCCTTACCTGGTCTTAGGCTGCATCATTAGTCTCCAGGGCTTCTCTTAGGGTGCTCAGAGGCCATGCCTATGCACCTATGCAAGTCAGAATGAAGCCTTAGACAAAAGAGATAGGGGTGGTTTGTGATAGGCATAGATTCATAACTGGGCAGAGGTATGAGAGGGCTGTGAGGTTCCCCTAGCTCTGGCTCTTCTCAAAGTGCCTCTAGGACTGTGTGTCATGGACTCCAAAGGGAAAAGTCCTGCTGTCACCCTCCTGTGGCTACTGGAGGGGAAGTGGTGGTCTTTGATCCAGGCAGCATGGTTTCTAGTGGCTGGTTCCCAGAGAAGCCTTCAGGATAAGGAGTCCAGCTGCCATCAGTCTCATTGCCTGAATCTTCTGGGAAATGGACACCTTCACAAGATCGCCTCACCAGCAAGCTTGCTCCGAGATAGTATGGAGAGGTATTATCCTGGCCAGGGGTCCACCTGAGAGGCAGGTCCACATCCCAGGGGCAGTGGTTCACTTGCTGGGACTCAGTAGCTGCATCAGCAATGAGGCCTCATCCTGTGACAGTGTCCTGGACTCCCACCGGGTCTGTGAGGCTCAGCTATTAAAGGTCCAGGCCCTGGCATATGTCCTAGGTGGTGACAGGAGGGTGGAGGTGAGATGGAACTGGAAACATGCTTAGTGACTTGCTCTTGAACAGACCCATTTAATTCTCTCTGACCAGGCAGAGGGGCAGCAGAGTCTACAGCGTTAGTGCCCAGAGAATTTCAGAGAAAGGTGTCTATTTCAGGTCAGCTGACTATCCTAGTGCAGGATTCCTTGATGCCACATTGCATCTTTGAAGAAGGAGGATAGAAGCAGACAAGAAATGTGTGGAAGGCAGCTCCATAATCTGGAGATGACTGGGAAGTTGGTTCTTCCTTATTCCCCTTATTTCGGGGAAGACAGCCCTTCTAACTGTTCTCAGCCTAACGCCACTGATTCAGACTTTGCCCTCCAGAGCCAGAAGAAAATATGTGGATGCTGTTTTAAACTGATGGTTTGTGGCAACTTGTTACAATGGCAGTGGGAAACTCATGCCTGTGGCCATGAAGTCACATTTGTGTCCTGACTGTCTGATCCAGAAAGGTGCAGTGGAGCAAGGGACTATGGGAAGCTTCCTTACTTGTGCTAACATAAGAAATCAGATCAGCTTCTTCTGACAGGGGGCCTGAGATGTTTAGATGGTAAAACTTCTGTCCCCCTTAGCAGCTAGGGGATTTTTGGGTAACAGTCCCAAGATTCCCCTCTGCAACTTCTCTGGGTCAGTCAATGAATTTATAATAAATTCTACCTACCTTCTACATAGACTCTGTGTCTTAACTGAATTTTTCATTGATCTAAGACCAAGGAAGTGAGGAACTGCTTCCTTGCTACGTGACTATCTGGCCTCTGGTGACCATGGTGACCATGGGAAAATACCATCAAACCACAATGTAAATGAGATTATAATTAAGTACACTTGATCTGGGATCACTTTTGGCTTAGGATATTCTAAAGCACATGCATCCTGAGATATGGCTTCATCGATTGGAGTCGGGTGCTCTTGGTGGTTTACAGAGGACTTATCTTGGTCTCCCAGAAGCCTGTAGCACAGGTGTCTGATGTTTCCTCTGGTGAAGGTCTAGAAGCAGGAATGGGGCACTCTCTGCTGTTTATGAGACCACCTTCTTACTTCCCTTCTAGCTTCTCCTTCCAGATAGTTTTCCTCTCCAAAGTAACATTGGGCTGGCTTCTAGGGACAGCAGGCTTCTGATGGTGGTGGAGCCCACCCTCTTCCCTTCCCCTCCTCGTGGGCCAGAGGACAAGGAGCACAGACAATGGAGATTTGGCTGAATGTGTTTATTTAGCAGAAAAGGGGATTCATGGGGTAACTGGAATTGTGGGTGATGGCTGTTCAGCAGTACATTGTAAGTAGAGTCTTCCAGCTCCCTCACTGGCATTGTAGTTTTGGGGGCAGCTAGAGGGCACTTTGGGCAGAGGTGACAGGAAGAACAGGGGTTGATGGGACAGGAGGCACCTGAGATGGGACAGCAGAATAAGGATGGCCCAGATTCAGGTTTGGAGGAAGAGAGGAACAAAGGCAGCCCCAAGACCTCCAGCCTGTCCCTCCATGATCTCCCATCAGCCCCTGCCCAGCCAAACTTACTGCCTGTTCACTAATCGATGCACTGATCTGTGGAAGAGAAAAGGGAAAAAGAAATTAGAGCAGAGCAGGTGTGTGTGTGCGTGTGTGCACGCGCGTGTGTGTATGTGGTCTTTAGTTGCATTGTAGAACCCTTTGCACTGCCTGTGACTGTATTAGGTCCAGCTAGGTCAACATGCAGGGTCTCTGTGGGTTTCCTGAGCTCGGGGTCTGGGAATGAGATCCTTTGTAGGCCCGGGCCTCACAGTGGCCTCCAAGGCCTCCAGCCTATTTACCGGCAGAGTTCTGTCAGCCTCCCAGACAGTGACCCTGACTGACCTTGCTGGAATCCCCTGCCCAGGTCAGGCCACTTAAAACAATGAACATCTGCAATGTCAACAATGAGCAAGGGACTGGGAAGTGAAAGGTGAGCAGGGAAGCAAGGCACAGTATGTGGTGAGGGGGCGGCCCAGGGTAGAAGACTGGGTAGGAGCTGGCTGAAGATGTAGAGAACCAAGGTATGGAGAAGAGGTTGCTCAGGCTGGTGATAGTGGCCTGACACTGCCATCCAAGCAGCCTTTGGCTAAACTATCACCAAGTGCATTTGGGGCCAGGGTCCCTGGGGACCCACAGACCCCAGCTTTTCACCAGTAACTTCCCAGTGGTAGGAGCAGGGAACTGAACCTCTCCTGCCCCCTTTCCCTGGTGAAGCATCATCAGAGCTAGACAACCCCACATTCCCCTCCTCTCTCCCTGTGGCCCTTACCATTGGGGGCAGTGAAGAGAATGTTGTCCTCAGTGAAGCCCAGATGCTTTGCAAAGCTGATGAAGTAACTCTTCATGTTAGGGCTCAACTGCTTGGTTCTCCCTGTAGCCAAGATTACCAGTGAGTGACCAACAGAAATATACTTTATAATTTTTTTAAAAAAGCTTTTAATACAGGATCTTGCTGTGTAATTCAGGCTGGCCTTAAACTCACCAGGCTGCCTCAGGCTCCCAAATGCTGAGATGAGAAGTGTGTATTACAAAACCAGTTCTGCTCCATAAATCCCTCAGAAGGAGATCTTAGACCCCTTTGCTATGGAGGCTCTGTGGCCTCCTTCCTGAGGATTCTCTGGGCAAGGCACTGGGGTCTTGGGAAAGATGATTTTCTCCCCAAGGAGTGGATGGAGAAAGGACTTACCATACAGGGTGGTCTTGAAGTATACTGTATTTCTGAATATCTTCTCGGAGAACACGATGGCTACCTGGCTGTAGTTGGTGATGGCCACTCTCATGGTGTAGCTCTGTGTTCCGACATAAACTGTAATGTGGACAGTGAGGGTCATCCCTGCCCCAGTTGGTTAGGAAGATGCTGTCCCCTACTACCTTGTCCCCTACCACCTTGACAGTCAGTGGGGTCTTCTCCCAACAGAACAGCAGGTGTGTGGAGTAGCAGGGAGAGGCCTATCCTCTTTTAGGAGGAATCTGCCCCCAAATCTAACCTTGAGGCACCTGTTCCGCTTAAGGCTTACGTGTAATATTGCCCAGGGTAAACTGGCCAGGATGGACATCAGGGACAATAGTTCTGGTCCAGTAGTCACAAAACTGGCCCTTGCTTGGTAGCTCTCTGGAAGAGAGAAATGACACAGGCTAAGCAAAGAGATGACGTACACTTATATTCCTTAGACTGGAAAAGAGAGCCCCCTGCTTCCACGGTGTACCCCAACCCCAGCCACAGCATGAAACCCTGGGCCCTCACCTACCCCTTGCCGTGGTCCTGGTCCTTCCATTCTGAGCCTCTCACTGGCCACTCCACCCATTATCCAGCACTCTCTCTCCTCCGGTTTCTCCCTGGGGCAGCCTCTCCAAGGAACTAACCCCTGCTCTTACCTCATGGTTTTTGTTTCCTATCTTTCCTGGCAATTTTTTCTGACCTTAGTCTGTTCCATGCTGAGCTCTGACCTGGTGCACCTGACCTACCTCATTCCTGCAGAGGGCCCAGCCCCAGAACCCACCTTCCTTGCACCCCTTCATCTTCATATGCTCCAGCTGCAAAGCCACCCAGTGGACAGAGATGGAACCCAGGGCAGGTGGATGAGCCCAGGCTTCCCCATCCAACTTCTTATCTGCCCTACCTCTGCCTTTTCCTGCTTCGGACTGCCTAGCCTTACCTCCATGTTTTTCCTTGCCTCCCCTGCTACAGCTGTGCCGGGATCCTGGCTCTTGCAGGAGCCCCAGGCCAGGCCCTGCCTCAGAGCCTTATGGAGTAGCGCCTGCCCTCCAGTGCTCCTCAGCTCCTGCTCTGGCAGCAGTGCTGATGCCTGGCTGCTTTGTGGCCTCCTAGGGTGAGGCTCTCCGACTCAGAGTTCACCTGGCCCTACTGTAACCTCCGTGACTCTTTTTTTGGTGTGTGGATGTGGTGGGAATTGAATTCAGGACTTTCACATGTAACCACATCCCCAGCACTTCTTAATTTTTATTTTGGGATGAGGGCTTTCCAAGTTGCTCATGTGATCTTCAAATCTTTGTAGCCCTATTTCAGTTTCCTGAACTGACCCGAATGGGTTACGGGCTCCTTTAAAGTCACTTTCATACAACTAGATAGATAGTGGTTGTGGCAGGATTCTGGGTGGATCCAACATCCTTCCTTACCCATAGATATCCAACTCTCTGTCCTGTTTCTACTGACTGTTTGCCCCAGGAACACTGGTTTTAGGGACTAAGGAAGATCGACTGGGGGCATGGAGATGAATGACTGTGTCACTCAGCTTTGGTCACCCCATGGCTGTGACCTTGGTACATATGCTCCTGAAACCTCCAGGTGCTAGTTGCTTTACCTGAGCAATCTGGTGGTTAGGTTGTAGCTGTGATCCTCCTTCAGCTCATAGGTGTCACTGAACATTTTAAACTCTCTTTGGCTTCCATTCTGAACTGTGTTCTCTGCCACACCTAAAGCGTACCACTTCCCCTGGAACTGCAAGAGGATGATGACAGTCAGGACCCAGGGATGGCCCAGAGCCACCCCTGCTGTTCTGTCCCTGCTGGGACCTCTGCTAAGCCTAGGGATGGGGTTGTCCTGAGAAACTAGCAGTAGCTGGGTCCCTGCAGGGCTAGGAGGGACACCAGGGAGGAGTCATTGGGGATTATTTGACCTGGGCAAGTAGCTGGTGGGCTTTCATGAGCCTGTTTTCTTTTCTGCACAGAGGGACTGAAGATATGCCCACCTGGAATGCACTGGCCCTGGACTCCCTGGGCCCAGCTCCTGCCACCAAACACAACCCCTAAATTCCACTGCCTCTCTTCCCCTCTTCTCCCACCACCCTGTCATTCAGGTATTCCGGGCAAGCACTTTGCCAGAGCCCTTACCTGGTCTTCCTGGAAGTTTGGCTGCAAGGGGACCATGCTCAGAGATGGCCTTGAAAGCACAGTGGAAGAGGAGTTCTGGACTTGGGTCTGCAGGGTCTCCTGCAGCATGAGACCCAGCCAAAGAAGATGCAGGGCCATGGCTTCGGAGCAGATGCTGGGCCTGGAATGTGTGGAAGGAGGAAGATGATGACTGAGGTGACCACCAGGGCAACTATTTATAGGCCACCTCGGTGCCGCCTGCTCTGTGGTGGCCTATCAACCCTTTGCTAAATCCAGGAAGGGTGAGTCAATTGCCAAAAATGCCTTCAGAATCACATGGTGAGATACCTGCCTTTTTCCCCCTGGACAGGATTTTGCAAGCTAAAGAGAGAAAAAGGTGACAGGTGACAAGAAGAACATTCCCAGAGCTCTAGAATGTGGCCAGGATAATGTTTCCCTCTGAGCACTCACTGTGTCTCCTTTCTTCTTCTTTTTTAAATTTTATTTAAGGAGAAAAAGAAAAAAAAAACAGAAAAAGGGTACAAGTTACACAGAATTTCAGAAAAAATAAACAGTAGGAAATCACTAGTTAATAGATTACATATTGTCATCTTAGAAATAGTTGTTCAAGTTACAAAATTAAAGCATATAAAGTGGACATTCAAACAGTGAGACTGCAAACAGTTCTGTTGAATGATCTAACAAAACTCAGTAGTATGGTTATCTATCTTATACACTTAAATATACACGCAGTTATATCCTTTAGAACACTTTCTTTTCCTCTCTTTTGTACAATGACAATTACACATTTTGGGTGTTATTACTCCCACAGTTCTTATTACTTTTTTTGAAGAAAATAAAACCAAATGTGACGTAACAGAACAGAGTCAGTCAAATCAAAAGAATGGACATAATACATAATATAAAAACAAAATATAAGGTGATCAACAGTGATTACCATAATGCCTCTTGTTATCTTAAAAAGAATTGCCTATATCTTCAGTTATAAGAAAATTGAACAAAACAGTAAAGAACAAACCCAATAAAACCAAAACATTTGTGTCTCCTCTCTTCTTATTCCCCTGTTGTTTGGTCGGCAGCTTGGGTCCAGATAAGCTGTCATCTCTGTCTGATCCTGTGAAACCAGAATGGGCCCTTGTGGGGTGAGGTCCTGTCCCTGCTCCACAAAGAACAAAAAATTTTATGTCAGACATAGCGCGGTGTATACCTCTAACCCCAGCCATTGGAGGCTGAGGCAGGAAGACTGCCACAAGTCTAAGGCCAGCCTGGGCTTTGAGGTGAGTTCAAGGCCAGCCTGAAATACAGTGACCTGTCTGAACAAACAAAAAATTTTAATAGTAATAGTAATAATACCAACAGTAGAAAAAAAACCCCAAAAAGGAACCATGCAAAGAGTGTTCCTGTCTAATATGCCATGGGCTTCTGACGATGGATATCCTGGACAGGGAAGAAAAAGTTGGCTCCTTCGAGCCCAGATCCTGGCCCTCACCAGAGCCCCAGGCCAGCCATGACACATGGTGACATGCCTTGTGCCTCTCTCTTCCCCTGTGCTTCTAGCACATTTAGCTGGACAGGACAGTAGGACCCTCAGGAACTTGTCCCTTCCTGTGAGCCCAGCATGCAGAGAGACTCAGAGCACGTTACATGGGACACAGATGCGGGTACTGGAGAGCCTTAGTGGCTGAGGCTTCCCTTACAGCTCACTGTGGAGCTCAGGCAGTGGTCCCGGGGCTGCATTCTGCTGCTGTGTAGGCCAGTGGCTTTGAGTCATGTAGTGCCAGGGTTTGTGCTTGAGAGGTCATTTAGACCAACCCTCTGTCTGTCCACATCCATGGGCCATGGAGCCAGTGCTTCATGCCTGGCATCTAAGAACAGAACTTGGGATTGCTGCTCCCAGACTTACCCTAAACCAGGCTCCCCAGTGGGGACCTGGCCAGCATCCTGGGGAAGTAGTGATGGATCTTTGTGCAGTGTCCTCTTGTGATGGCTTAGCCATGTGGACAGTGAATGGCTTGGATGCCTATCCTGAGGCTGGACTGAGGATTTGCCAGATTTATATGGGATTAAAAGAGCCTCTACTGGCCCTATCCACCTGCTGCTTGGGCACCAGCCTGGGTTCTGGTGGGGTGAGCCCTGAGGGAAGGAGCTTTAGTGGGGGGACCTGAGCTGGTGGATAGGGTGCCACCTCAGCCCCGCATACTAAGTGTCCTCCATTGCCCTCTTCACCTGGGCTGGATGATGAAAAGGCAGGAAGTGAAGCCAAGCAAAGCTGTGACCTCCAGAGCCTCCCTTCCCATCTTGCTCAGCTGTCCTAGCCCTGATGGCTTCGTCTCTACTACCTGAAAAGCAGTATTGTCATGCATTGGTGCAGTATTGGTCAATGCACTTTGGGGGACTGAGGCAGGAGTTTTTCAAATTACAGTTCAGCCTGGACAACTTAGCAAAACTGTCTCAAAAGTGAAAAAATTAAAGCAGTCCTCCTCTCTTCAGATAAAAGATACCACCTAGTCTTAAGTGCTTCTGGATAAAATTATTAAGACTTCTTGTGTTGTTCATTTTAGATTTATACGATATGTGAAATTAACTTAAAAGGGAATTTTCATCATATGAATTAATATTTAAGTGTCTTCTTTAAAGTTTCCTCTATTATAAAAACATAGAGTAATAGGTGCATATTTTAAGCCTCAGAAGACATTTCCATATTTCCTGTAGAGAAAATAATTTTTATCTTTAATTAACTAGAATTGGGCTATATACGTTAATTTTTGATCATGTATTTTGGGAGATTTTGGGCATTGACTTCCAAAAGTCCCTTATTTCTCCACACCCACTTCATACATACTTCTGGCCAATGCTTCTACATAGCCCCTTTTTTAGTTTTATACTTGGGTTTGGGGAAAGGGACAGCACAAAGGGAGGATGGATACTGGCCTCGGTGGTGGTCATCATGGCTTAATACACAGCATCCCCTGAAAGAGTACACAGAAAGTTCTTAGGACTGTAATAAAGAGCAAAAGAAAATTATTTCAGTACCAGAAAGATTCTAAAGGTGAAAGCTGAGACCATCTTTCCATCTTTTGGAATTTAGCCAATAGTGATATCATTGAGTTGGTGTAGAGTAACTTTTTTTGGATTTAATTTCTTTAAAAACTTACTTTTGCTATTATTTTTTATTATTTCACCCAAGTGAAGTGAGATTTCATTTTACTTCCACTGTTAACTTTTTAGTTAGATCTAGTTCCCTTTACATTTGTTTAAATGACTAGAGGTTGCATTTATATCTTTAAATCTTTATAGCTAGGGTTGATACTGTACAATTTCATGTAAAATATATCATCCTTAACAAGTAGTCAGTCTTACTGCCTATAAAGTTTAGTCCTTATGCTGTAATTTTTCTTTTTTGAAATTTCTTTACTTTAGTGGCTATCCTCTCGGAGATTTCAAGTGTGTGACTTCCATTTTCTTCCATGACTGTATCTCCCAGACTTGTTCTGTGTGTGCTGGAGGCCCAAGATTGCCTTTTGCTTCTTTGCCTTGACATTTTCCTGGGTTCCTCCCAACAAGCCCATTGTGGAGGTCCTGGTTGCTTCCCATGTTGGCTGCCTCTCCATAGGGTAGGAGCATAGGCCAGACATCTGGATTTCTCTGAATCCAGGTTCCTGGGCAGGCCATGGGGCATGGAGTGAGCTTCTCCAGATCCATGTGTCTACACCTTGGTGCCCCCAATAGCCATGGGTGCATGGTGCCAGGGCAGCTTCTTCTCTTGGCCTGTGTGTCTACACTGGGACTCCTCCAGTGGTGGCAGGCACACGGGAGTGTGTTTGTTTGACTTTCTTGGCTCATGCTGGCTGCTTGCAGGAAGCAGGCATCTTCAATGGTGGCCTGCTGTCACATGGGATGTATCTGTCTATTCCTCTCTATCCATGCCAGTTACCTGAAGGAAGCAAGCATTTAGATGTTGGCAGGCACGCAGGGGTGGGTTTGGCGGTTTCTCCTTGCCCATGCTGGCTGCACACAGGAGGTAAGCCTTCCAACAGCATTGGTATGTGGGGGAAGGTCTTGCTGGGTCTAGAATAATATTATGAGCTTCCTGCTTAAGTTTATATAACTGGGTCTATGGTTATCCTTGGAGCGTGGAAATCTCCCCATTGAGGTCAGCATGAAAATTACCACTGACCACATACTGGACTCTGCCTCAGGATTTAGAAATGGTGAAATGGAATTGGAATGATGCACATGGGATGGTAACCAGCTTTATGGTTCACCCTACTAGGTATCCAAAGAGCTTCAGTGTTCACTGAGCCATCCTACCATGACTTTGAGAACATTAAGTATTTGCAAAATTCCTTTATGAATACTGATTTGAGTTAAAAACTTAGAAGTGCTATTTTGAAAATATTCATAGTCTTGGCAGTTGGGATGGAGTTTGTCAGGGCAATGGGTGCTGTGGTTGCAGTAGCTTCCAGTGCTGTCACTGCTATAATGCCCCAAACCACTTTTGTCTGACATGTTCAAGAGATGAAGCAATGTGTTCTCAAGTAGAGTCTCCCACCCAGTCACGTGTGAGATTGTCGGGGTGCTCGGCTTTAGCCTTTAGTCTAAGAGCCATCATATGAGTAATGTTTAGTTGAGAAATATTGTTAAAGCCACATGGAGTGAGCCGTGTGGAGTCTGCAAGCCAAGTAGAACTGAGAACATTAAAAGTCAGTAGCAAGCCGTGGGTGAATTGTAAATAGTGAAGACAGGGTCCTCCTTGGGGAGGACCAAAATACATAGGGGCGGAAGCATAGATCATGACTTAATCAGAGATATAAAAATCTCTGTGAGCTTATATATTGACAGCTGCCAGTTCTGACAATGTGATTGTACAAGGGAGTTGCCGTGGGGATTTCCGAAGTGCCTGAGCAGAGGCATAGTATGTTAAGGGCTCAGCGATCCCAGGATTCCAGGAAGGTGGAATGCAACCATAACTGAAAGGCAAAATACAATTCCAGGGAAAATTAGACTCTAACACCATCAGATCCTGAGGTCCTCAGTTTTCTAAGGGTTATATTGTAAGACAGATGAATAATGGGGGGATTGGTGCACTGACATGACGTCCACCCCAAATCTAGGCCATCTCTTAGGCACTCATGAAT